TGAGAAAATTGAGCGTGGGAGAGAAAAGTGAGGGGAACCCCGAACCAAACCCAACAATTTGCAAATCAGAAAGTGCCCGACTTTATTCGATTTCCCGATTCGATACCCGAAAAGAAATGTTGGGTTGTATCAAATAACTGAAGCTATCACTTTCGTTTGATTTCATTTGGGAAATTTCGGAAGCTGCGAGATGGGTTTGGAAGATGGGAACTCAGAGAACGCGCGAAGCTGGGCGAGGTTTCTGGCCACGTGTCTCGCCGGTGGGGCGGTGGTGGCGGTGGGGGTCGGCGTCGGGGTGTCGCTTCTGGGTTCACAAGAACGCGGCGGACCTCAGCTTCCTCTGGGACTTCGATGGCGGAGGAAGAAGAACAGACCCGTGCGGGTTTACATGGACGGCTGCTTCGACATGATGCACTACGGCCACTGCAACGCCCTCCGTCAGGCGCGCGCTCTGGGCGACCAATTGGTCGTTGGGGTCGTCAGCGACGCCGAAATCATCGTCAATAAAGGCCCCCCTGTGACTCCTCTCAACGAAAGGTACCGACTTTTTGTGTTAATGGAGCTGATTAGATTCGAAATTTTGGGTTATGGCATTATGTGAACGTGTGGTTAATCCTAATTAGTTGTCTTAATTAGGATGATTATGGTTAATGCTGTGAAATGGGTTGATGAGGTGATTCCAGATGCACCTTATGCCATAACCGAAGAGTTCATGAAGAAGCTGTTTGATGAATACAATATTGACTATATCATTCATGGAGATGACCCATGTGTGCTTCCTGATGGTACTGATGCTTATGCTCTTGCGAAGAAGGCCGGTCGCTACAAGCAGATCAAGCGGACAGAAGGCGTTTCCAGCACCGACATTGTTGGTTAGTTCTATTTCTAGCATTGGAGCTGATTAAATAATGAATACTTATGTTCTGTATAGAATTACAGTTGTTTTTGTTAGTCTAACTTCGTTATTTGCTAATGCTGTGTATAGGTCGTATGCTTCTCTGTGTAAGAGAGAGATCTGTTAGTGAAATCCAACAGCATTCTTCCTTGCAAAGACAATTCAGCCACGGTCACAGCCAGAAGTTTGAAGATGGTGGGTCTGGAAGTGGAACCCGTGTGTCTCATTTCCTACCGACATCTCGAAGAATTGTTCAGTTTTCAAATGGAAAGGTAATGTTGTCTCCGTAACTGTTTCTCTGCTGGTTGTTTGAAGTGGAGCAACTTTTAGTATTCAATCCCTCACTTAGATTCCGAAGTTCGTCTCTTTATAAACAAGGGAGATGAAAGGGGAAAGACAAAACTTGATTTCTACGTCACATTATCACATATACTTATTTTAAGTGCCACACTCTGGCATTGCATTACTACTTTGTCACTTTTTAGTGGTTTATGCCTGACTGCAGGGGCCTGAATCGGATGCGCGCATAATTTATATAGATGGTGCATTTGATCTTTTCCATGCTGGACATGTGGAGGTAATGTGGATGAGTTTGCTCACATGATATTTATCCTTTACTCTCTTACAGTATCCTTTACTCTATTTAGAGTGATCTGATTCCTGAAAATTGCCACCTCTCTCTCTCTCTCTCACACACACACACACACACAAACCTAAACACACAACACAGACACATTACACATTATATCTGCACCATTGTTGTTAGACGTGGGATTTTTTTTTTTTTTTTTGTTCATTCTACTATATTCATGCCATTACGGTCTTCTTGTCTGTTTTTCTTTTGTTTTCCAATTTTTACTTTAGATTTGATAAGCTATTGAGGGAGAAAAAACTGACCTTTTGGTTACATGGCCATCTTTTTCATATAGATCTTAAGGAAAGCACGAGAGCTTGGGGATTTTCTTCTTGTTGGAATACACACTGATCAGACTGTCAGGTATCATCTCCATCTTACTCTCACTCTCACATGTCAATTTCTATGACCAGTAACCCTTTAATCATTTGGGTCTACTTTAGAACCATATATAGTTTGACCATAATAGAAAAATCAAATCCAATAGTAGTGACTTCCACACACGTGTGTGTATATTATCTCTTCACATGAAAAACAAATTAATCCGTAAGTCAATTTTGTACCTATTGTTCTAGGTTTTCTCATTGAATGGGTTTTCAGTAGCATACTAGTTGCGATAGAACCTTGTCACTGGTCACCACTTTGAAAAAATTGGCTGAGTATCAGTTTATCTTTCATGAAAGTTGATTTACTTAATCTACCTTTACGGTTGGTGCCCTTTTCCCTACCTTGTGTGCATTTTGGTGTTACATAAAAACACAACTTTGCTCTCACCATATATGTGGATTATTTCTAATTCCTGGGAAGCAACTTATCTTTATATAAATTTCACCAATACTTCAGTTCATGAGAGGTCGCACTTGGTGCGATGGCAAGTGCCTTCGCCCATGAGCGGTAGGTCTCGGGTTCGAGACTTGGGAGCAGCCTCCCCATAAATGGGGGTAAGGCTAGCCGACATTCACCTCTCCCAGACCCTGCGTTAAGCGGGAGCCTTGTGCACTGGGTACGACCTTTTTTTTTCAGTTCATGAACTTCCATCTCTTACAGATGTTCATTTATTCTTGCAACCTCTGATTAGGGTATTTTGTTTTACTTCCAAGTACACATCCTTTTTTTACTTCCATCTCTTATACTGTATTTCAAAACCCACTAGGTAATAGCTTTATCTAATATTTGCATTACAGTGCTAACAGAGGAGCACATCGCCCAATAATGAACCTTCACGAAAGAAGCCTAAGTGTTTTGGCTTGCCGCCATGTGGATGAGGTTATAATTGGTGCTCCATGGGTAATCTCAAAAGACATGGTGAGCTTGTCTTCTAATTTGTACTGAATTTGCTTCATTATGTATTTAGTCAGCCTTCATGCTTTTCCTGTATTCTTCTGGTTGTTTTTCTCATCGCAAAATTTTCTTATTCTTGAAGTTGGTTATAGTCTCTTTTTTTTCTCCCTCAGCATTAGTGTTAATTGAACTAGAATTTGGGTCTACCCGTAATCTTGTTTTAGTACTTTCCATATTTTTGTGAACTTGACTTGTTTAAAACAGTGCTCACACTTGTATTATATAATTCCTCATGGAATATCTTGTTGCTGCAGCTCACAACCTTTAACATCTCCTTAGTGGTCCATGGAACGGTAGCAGAGAATAGCAACTTTGAAAAGGTAAATTGCAAAACAAGTTCCTAATGCTGATGTCTTTACTTCATTAGCTTAATTCTGGAGCCGCCAAGATGCATTGGTTAGTTACACTTTTTTTTTTGTTTGGCAGGAAGAAGGCAACCCATATGAAGTCCCAATCAATTTAGGCATCTTCAAAGTTTTGGAAAGCCCGCTTGATATCACCACTTCCACAATAATTAGAAGGATTGTATCCAATCATGAAGCATACCAGGTTTTCCCCTATACCTGAGTTTCCTTGCAATACTATTGTTCGAATTTGGACCCGTCATTTATAATGAAAATTTCAAACATTATAAATACAGGGAATTGTTGTTAGCACTCCAAAAATTTTATTTAGCACTCCAAACTTCCTATAATTAGAAAGAAAAATACACATGTGACGAGTGTAGAATGATATTTTTGGAATGCTAATAACAGTTCCCTAAATATAAAGCATTTTTATGTTTGACTATTGTTTTACTTGATATCGTTTTGATTTCTACTTAGCATGCTTCAAACGTATGGCTTATCACTATTTCTTTTCCTGCAGAAACGTAACGAGAAAAAGGCAGCAAGCGAGAAAAGGTATTACGAAAGCAAGGGCTATGTTTCCGGTGACTGATAGACATAGATCTCTGAGGCCGATACATGGCTAGGCATTGAGTGCACCTGTTATTTTGGCACTTCGACGAAATATTACTAACTTCACAGATGACACAGCTGGGTTTTGGTACATTCACATGATGTTATTCACAAATCCTATTTTACGTGTATTTTACGAGTGATTCCCGAGTCTTGTTGTCTTGCAGCTATCTATTTGTTGTTTACATAGCTATTTCGGATTCAATCCAGAACCTCTAGAACTTGAGAAAAACTAGTTTGATGGGTTGATCGGGGCAAGCTTTTCGGAGTTTGCAAGTTCAAGCTCCTATTTTTAAAAATTAATACAAATTTAGCATGCAAGGAGTTTGCAAGTTCACGCTCCTATTTTTAAAAATTAATACAAAATTAGCATGCAATATGATTCTCCTGATGTGTAATGTCATACTGCTCTCGCATATACGCGCCTTGTGTCACTCAGGTGACGCGTGCGAGGATGATGCATACGTTATGATCTGAAGAGAATTTTTCTTTCTTTTTGTTTGTTTGTTTGTTTTTGTTTTTGTTTGGGAAATTGGTTGAATTTATCATTTTACTGTTTTAGTTGTTGAACCGATTTTGGTTGAATTTATCATTTTACTGTTTTAGTTGTTGGACCGATCAAAATCAAATAGCGGTGATATACAAATCAAAGATTTAACTTAATATCAACCAATCATTAAAAGAGAGCATCTCAACGAGATTAGTAAATAGATCATTTTAGCCGATTTCCATGTTTTCAGCTTTGAAAAAAAATTGTTTCTGTTGGGCTGTGAGAATAGGTTCATTTTTACTGCTTCACGTTTTTAGTTTTTTTTATCCAAAACTGTGAAAATAAGTTGTTTTAAGTGTTTACCAAATATTTTTCTTTAACTCAGTTTTTTTTTTTATACCTATTTTTCATAAAATCACCTCAGTATCAAACTGTTACTTAGAAAGCAATATTCAAACTTTTCCGACTTTTCAGGAAAATAAATATGAACTGGAGAGCAAAAAGGCACTGTCATGGCCAGTTGACTTAATCCAAATACGCAAACTTCTGTTGCATTTAGATACAAGTTTTTATTTGGATACAAGAAAATTGGAGTGATGGCTCATATATATATATATATATATATATATATATATATATATATATTGCTGGCTCTCTACCCTTACATAATATGAGATTCTATAGGGTAAAAAAGTATCCTATTTACATGGGTTTATTTCTGTACATTAGAAGGTAAAATCAAGAACACAAAATTGGTGTAAATGTCTTCCCACAAATCCGATCCAAAACCATTACAAAACCCATAATTAATTCAAGATCAAATCCAGGTTGCACCACCAAGCTGAACACGTCGTTTTCAAGCAAGACTGAATTATTTACTCTTTTTCTAGACACAGTGGCAACAAGTTCTCCACTGCGATCTCTGATTTTGCAGTTTCTTCTCCCAAAACAACCTTCAATTCTGAAATCTGGTGTACTATTTGAACTTGGCCCTCCCATGAACACCTCTGCCGCTTCACTTTTGTTTCTGCTGCCAAAAAGATTTGATCCACTTTTCATGGTGAAGACTCTGCTGGATTTAGGGTTCTTTCCATATCCATCTTCTCCTCTATATGCATTCCATTGAACTTGCAAGCTCAACATCTGTTCATTACAAAAATGGATTTGAATAAGCTTTCATGTATCAGATAATATATAGAGATACGAGCATGCTGCTCTGGTCAACTGATCTAATTCACGCTTGCTTTAACTCATATAAGTTCAACTTATTATTATTTGTATTGGCTACTAAACATGCATACTACACCAAAAGGAGGATTTGATAACAAATAATTACCTGGGGTTTGAGGGTTAGCAAGGCTCTTCCAGCTCCATCCATGAGGACAAGCCCTCCTCTAACACAACAGTTCTTCCTCGAATAATTGTCTACTCGAAAACTTAGTATTCCGCGATCGTCAAACACTGTAAATCCATCAGTTCCCTGGAAACTCATGCTAGATCTCTTCCACACGGTGAGCACAGACGGTGGCGCATGAACATCTTCCAACTGATGATGAACCCTTTCTTTCAACGCCGATGCTGGATGTATCCTGGACATGGCTAGCTAGCTAGAGAGATGGTAGAGAGGAATATGAGTAGTGACAAATGGCTTAGCTTTGGTTTTGCTGTCTGAAACTTGAGAATAAAACTATGTCCAAAGATGTGTGTGTATATAGAGAGGCAGGAGCCTATATATATATAATTTGGTATATACTCTGAGGACGTATGTACGTCGAAACAAAGAGAGAGAGCTTTGTGTTCTCTCTGTTGTCTAGCATAGTGGTTGGCACAGAATTCTTACGTAGGTCCCCAACTTTTTTAACGTTGCAAAAATTAGTATCCGGTGCTTAGTTACTAATGTTCATTGACTGAGATCTTATTAGTTTTTAAATTTTGATTGAAGTCCTAGCATTAATGTGATAATAAATTTACATGTTTATTACATATTTTTTAAAATAAAAATTAGTAATTGATTTAGGGTTTTAAGACTCACACCTCTATTAAACTCCTAATTAATTTTGAATTCAAACATTTCTAAAATTAAAAACAATAGAATAAGTTTGTACCCATTAGTTTTTTATAAAAAGATTCTTAATTTTTTAATCTTAAATGTACCCATCATATCATTTTCAATTTTTTTAATCTTAAATGTACCCATTTTTAAATATACCAATTTGTTATATGTAAAATGTACATTTTTTTTAATATAAAATGTACAATTTTTTTAATATAAAATGTACCCAATTTTTTAATATAAAATCCATTAAATTTTTTTAATCTATTTTAAACTTAATTATATGAGTACATTCTTTTTTTGTTGATTTGAGAATGTATCTATGTCAAGTTTAATCAAAGAAATTTACTAACGTTATTAAGTCTGATATCTTCTTTTTTCTGTGTTTGGAGAATATATCCATGTTTTGGTACAATTTTTTTTTTTTGTTAATTTTGATGAATGTGCCCACACACACACACACAAAATATAATAGAGGGTATTAATTTATATTTTATTATTTTTAATCCCACAAATTATGAGTTATATTTAAAATCTCATTAATACAAACAAATACAATTTTCAATTTTTAATTTTTAATTAGAAAATAGAGTAACTTACATTATTACATTAATTCAGGAACTTCGATCAAAAACTAAAATAGGCAAGATTTCAGTAAAAAAATATTAATAATTAGAAACCACATCCAAAATATCTCTATTTTTTTCATCATTTTTTATATGCAACTTACAATTATTTATATACAATTGCCAAGACTCTCTGACCTCACCAAATCACCAGTGACCAGCCCACCTACTTTACATATATTTACAGGTTGTTTGTAATAGTAAATTTATTTTTGTTGTCACATAATCTGGTACTTCAATAGATCGGGCTTAATTTGAATTTTTCGCATGTTATTCTGTGTTTTTTTAAGGAAGTAGCTAGTGACTTCGTCATGCCAATTGATTTTTTTTTGTCCAAAAAGACTAGTAGAGACATTTTAGCCTTCCTTTGCCACATCGTGTGATTTATGAGTACCATGAATCGAATCTAGAATGTGCCATATGAAAAACAAGTATGAAATTCATCTCCAACCACTAAGCCACCCCATGATGGTTATGTTAGTATGTGTTATTAACTATTGCCTTACCATTTATTAATATAACAAAAATATGACTTCATTATTATGTAACATTGAATTGTAAACTTTGACGATTGTAGTGTAACCTTATTTTTTCTTGTTATTCATACATTGAATGTTAACTTATTGTTGTAGCACCATTAAGCAGAGAGGTAGGGAGCCCATTGTATAACAATAAAGAGTAATTTTCTGACGTCTACTATAATAATACTTTTAAGTTTATACAAGGCGTTTATGGTTTAATAATCGACATTAGTAGTGTAATAAACAATACCATTTTATAAACCTCACCATTATTATGTAATGTTAGACGGTAAAGTTTGACATTTATAATGTAATTTTATTAAAACAAATGATATCAATAACTTTTTCTAAAGGGTACCGTAGAATTATATTTTTGGCTTTGTGAATGTTTTTAAGTTGTAATGTTCAATCTTTTGGGGGGGGGGGGGGGGGGGGAGGGGGGGCACATTAAGTGCATGGTCGAGGGGTTAGGCCACAGTAATCATTTTAATTATTTGGCTTTGTGAATCCATTAGCAAACATCATCAATTTTCATGTTTCTCATGAACCTAAAGAATGCATCAATGGCACTAAAGCCAGACAAAGTGGGACGAACTGTCTTGTTTGCTTTACAAATAATGATTAGTATAAGCCTCGATCGATCTGGCTTAAGATCAATGAACTTCATGATGAAAGTGATATAATTCAAACAATTATGCCCCAAGTAAAAATATTTGTTGCTCATTAGTCCAAACTTCATGCATACATTTGACTCCATTTGTCGGCATACTGAAACTTTGGACCAATAATTCCCATTTGTATATTTCAATTTGGGATATTATATAAGCTAAACATCCTATATTCTACTCTATATGACCAATATTATTCGAAACCAAGAATATATTTTGGTGGGATTTAGTTGGAAAACAAGAGATTTCTTGTTCTGATGTTGTGTGTCGTGATTCATAATATGTAGTTAGCCGATTAATTTGTTCATAAAAAAAACTCTTAAAAAAGAACTAATTACCTTGGGAAATAATACACAAGAAATGTTTTGATCAAGGGAATGTATTATTTAATATAATATCGTTAGTTTAGAGATTTAAGCAAGTTGCTTAGTGTTAGTGCCCATTGTTTTGAGTCACTGAATCACTACCAAATCACTATAATGTGTTGATAATATTTATGTCTCTACTGAAAAAATTACCACTTTTCTAAAATCATTAGTCAATTTTGGTTTTCATGATGAATTTTTGACACATCATAAGTTATGGATTAAGGCGGGATATGAAATTATTACACTAGAAAATGAAAGAAACTCTATGTTTTTTAACAATTGATATTATCTATAATAAGGGGATGGGGGAGTAGGCTAAGCCTCACAATGGGCTAGCTATGGCAACTCGTCCCTAATTTTACAATTTAATTAATTTTTAAAAGAATGAATTGACGAAAATAACCCTTAAGGCGATGACTTTGACTTTCGATGACTGTCATGGTGTAACATGTATGAACCATTCTCCTAGCATATTATCGTAGTACTCGTCGCTACAAGCGCGTGGGCTCAAGTGAAATCGAAATCGAAGTTACGGTTAAAATTTTATGGAACTACAAACGGGAAGGGCATTTTAGTAATTTCATGTTTACGGAGGATTTTTTTTGTTCTGTTTTTTGTGGTCTTGTTTAGTGAGCCAGTAGCGCCCACACCCCATTCTCCTCCTTTACCCCTATGTCTCCCTCTATTTTTCATCTTATTATTAATTTTTTTTTTTTAAAAAAACACACACACACACACTCTCATCTATCTCTAATTCTCCTGAAGTACCCTCTCTCCCTCCCAGACTCCTTCCCTCTTCTGTGAGACGCAGCTCCATTACCATCTTCACCCATTCCAGCTAGCACCACCACCGACTGCCATAATTTCCCTTCCCTCATTTCACTCACTCTCTATCTCTCTCTCGCTCTAACTCTCTCACTTTAACTCTTCCCTTCTTTGCTTCACGACGTCGGAGCTTCTTTACTACCCTTTCACCATTTTTCACGATGAACAACCCAGACCACGGAACCACCACGACTTTACGAGCCCCCAAACCCTCACTCGAGATTTGTACTCTCTGGGTGTGCACAGACTGAGGAGAGGTCCTTCTTAAGTTAAATTTCTCCAACATGACTCCGTCATTTACAACCTTAAACCTCGAGGTCCGCATTTTTTCTTCATCTCGATGAGATGGCTCAAACAGAGCTCTGGTTCCCTGCGCAGTTTCCGGCCGAATCTGGGAACCTGCAACCAGGTTGACCCCGCCCGATTAAAAAAATAAAAATAACCCAAAACTTGATCCATGGGCTAGCCCAATCCTTTGGCCCATAAACCCTAAACTGGGATCCAGCTTGGCCCACATCCTAATGGATTTGGAATATTCCACGAAATTTTCTCGGAAACCCTCCTAGGCTAATTTTGACACCCCAAGTCCGTTTTTGACATCCATTTAGTGAAATTCCAAAGTTTTAACGTAGTTGACTGCCAGGGTGGCTCGGTTGACTTTTTAGGGTTGACTGTTGACTTTTCTTTTACTTTTTACAAAATTTGCCCATGACTCTTCTTAACGTATTTCGACGCGTTGATTTTGAATCCGCTACCTATTTCTCCAAATTCAAACGTATTAAGTTTTACTAATGGGTCTCTATTATACTTAGGTACGATTAGTATCGTCGATCCATATTGGCTCGTTCGAACGGCTACGACTTCGCCAGTATCTATGAATTGGTCTTTTCTTTTATACAGTATACATATATTTATTTAGTTTCCATATTACTTAATAGTGAATTTTCTACGTGATGCCAAAATTAAATTAATGTTTATAAGAAATGTCGTATTGTTAGGAAATTGTGAAATAATCCTAAGGGATGCACATGTAACCTTGCTATAAGGGGATACCTTGATCAGATTTACGACTATGAATAGTTTTATGTAGACTAGAATTATCGAATTACCGTGCATATTTATATTTACGTTATCTGCTCATTGTGTGCTACACTAGTGTTAGTACTTGGCCGGGCCAGGGCCAGGCTTCACGTGTATGTTCACATCGCACCGCATGCTCACTTTGGATCCATTGTAGGTGCTAGTCATGTCCTAGATTGTTATAGGCAATTAGGATTTATATGTGATGCGCATAACGCCAGTCTTCATATTATTGTAGTATTAGAGAATAAATCATTATTACACCCAGTCATGTTGGTGTCAGAATATCTCTGTATGAACTCGAGTGATAGCATATGTCGATGAGCACTTGATATGATATGTTTGTATCTGTGAGATTACACGAAACTGAACATTAGGTGTTTATTTACGAAATATTGTGACTTATTGAATTCTTAAGATATTGCAGGCTACGGTAAGTATTTTCACATTATATGTAGTATGTATATTTTGGAAACTATACTTGTTTTACAGCGAGGGGTTATTATGTTTTCGAAAAGGTTTTTACAAAACTTTATTTTTAGGCCTATTCACCATTGTTTTTCGCCTCTCCAGGTTTTAGTAGCAAAGTTTTCGTATCGACAAGGATTCTT